AAGGGTTGTCAAGCACAGGATCAGGCTGCCCAGGGAAGTGGTTGAGTCCCCATCCCTGGAGGTATTTAAAAGGCATGTAGATGTGGTGCTTAGGAACATGGTTTAGTGGTGGATTTGGCAGTGCTAGGTTAACAGTTGGACCTGATGATCTCAAGGGTCTTTTCCAACCAAAATGATTCTATGATTACTTCAGCAAGAAATAAGGGAAAGCAGGAAGATTTTTCAGAGTGAAAGCGTCTATTGTCTGAAAAAGTCAAACAAATCTGAGAGAAAGCCCAAGATAAATGTTTTGATTTTATCATTCATGAAAGCAATAAACAAAGGGCCAATTTGACATTGTAGGCATTCAATAATATATAGAGCAAATCACATGTTCACACGCATTTCAAAGATAATATGCTCTTTTTCCATAGAGTATAGGAAGCGTTGTGAACAATTCACTTTTCATTGTAAATTATTGTCTCAATTTATCAAATCCTGAGTATTTGGAAAACAAAGTGTTTCATCTTCTATGAAGATGGATACTTGGAGACAGTATGTCAGAGTGGGATGTTAGAGCTCATAGAACGGATAGTTAATTGGAATATTATGGTTTACTGTCTTTTTTCATATTTACCTAAATGTCATCTGGAAGGTACGGAGAGCAAAGTGAAAACACTCCAGTAGATTTTTAAACACATCCTGAGAGGAAAAGACATAAGTAACTTTGAAGGATTATCATGTACAAAAGGCCAAGATGTGACCCCTGGGAAGAAGAGCACATCTGTTCCTGTAATATAATTTTTCTACTTAAAAAGGAGCAGAGTTTGAGACATATTGAGAGGCAGAGCTCATTTTTGTTAGAATAGCATAGCATAGCATAGAATAGTTCAGTTGGAAAGGACCTGCAACGATCGTCTAGTCCAACTGTTCTACATATGAAGTCTGGTAGACATTAAAAATACTCAGGTGTGAGTGTCAGAGTATTATGTATTGTTCTGTGTTAGGGTTAGACTTAGTTATGTATGACCAGCACTCCAGTTATGTATGATACTATTTATAGAAAACTGAAATTTTGGCCACACAATAGGAAAAGCAAAAATAGAAATAATTTTTGTTTCATGCAAAACCATTCTGCTTCCAATGTACGTTCCTGTTGTTTGTGTCCAGCTTTCAGTTTGACTGCTGGGATATTTTTTCATTCTTTTTTTTTTTTTTTTTGCCTAATTGCCTCTCTTTTATTAATGTCACATAAAATATCTCCTTAATACTTTAGTCCGTCCATAATTTTTTCTATTGATTTCAGCCTTCTATGTATTTTCATGTGTCTTTCTTTTATACTACCCATATTTTCTCTTTGGCTTCTATTCATTCCTTTTTTCAAAAAGTATTTCTTTCTGTATTCCTACCCTTTTCTACCTTTCCCCATCTTACTTCCCTTATTTCTATGATTTTTTTTTGTTTTTCCCTTTTTTTTTCTCCAGCTATAATACTTCTTAATTTACTTGTCATTTTTTCCCCCTCAAAGGTTAGATCTCTCTCTCCCCTCCTTCCTAGTGGGGAAAATATTTCTTACCCATGTATGCCATTTCCTAGAAAATATCACTGCAGGAAAATCATAAAACAGAGGCTTCTGTGCTATCACTTGCCAGAAGTATACCCATTCTTAGTTATGTGTGGGAAAAGTACATAAGGCCATAAGGTTTATCAGATCCAAAATAGTAGTGAATTCTAGTGCTATGAGAAAGTTGCAGAGCATTGTGTAGAGGATGAAATGATGCCTTGTTTGTTGCTTTATTAACACCAGGACTTTCATAAGATCAGAGAAAACGTATCATTTAAAGCCAAATCTTACAGAAATCTATTATTATATTCATTTTACAAACATAAGAATAAGGCCAACCGTATTCAGTCATTTACAGTATTGCATTTGCAGTGGTTGTACAGTGAGATTAGTGCTATTGGTGAATAGTAGCAAATATTGCTGCAGAATCTTCCCAGAACTTCATTTATATTACTTCAATAATGCATGTTTGCCATTAATTTACTTTTTTTTATGTTCAGTTTTGGTCAATATACACTGGAGTATTACTGAAAGAAAAATATATGGAAAGGACTCAACCAATTACAGACTCAACCAATCCTGGTTTGAAGTGTTGTGTAAAGGTGTACTTCATTAATGAAAGTTAACACACTCAGCTCAGTCACTGAAAATTATATCATCGTTTGTAGAGTTTAAGCAATGAGAAAATAATTAGCTTCATGCCTTTAAAAGAGTAGTTTTGAGGAAAATATGCTGTTTATTTTTCCACTTTTCTTAAACATGAAAGGAGATGAAATCTCTCCAGGGAGCTATTTGTTATGAATTTCACAAGGAGCTCTCATGTTCAGATTCTGTGTGCTTCTAACAGTATGTGTAATGAGATCATCCTGGGGGAAAACTTGTCTTGCAAACTCTTGCTTACTTCCAGTCAACATTTGAGGAGCCAGGGAGA